AATATCATTATAAAATAGAAAACTAATAAATTTATATGATTTACTATGAAATACCATACACATGAAAAATTTTTTTTATGAAATTTTATAGTGAATACATTAAAATAAAATCTCTAAAATACATATATGTTTTGAATGAAATACCTTTGATTTAATTTAAGATTTTTAAATTAACTTAAAAAATTATTTACTAAAAAATAATGTACAAATGTTAATTAAAAATGATCAATAGGGATATAACCGCCAATAGAAATTTTCTTTTTTACATTATGATCATAAACCGTTATCCCTAATTCATTTTTATCTTCTTTGAATGAAGATTCATTTTCTTTAATTTCATTAGTTTTAATTTGCGTTATAGAATCATCAATTTGAATTTCTTTCTTTTTCTTTGGTTCTTCAGATAAACCAGTTAATTCATAATATCTTAATCGGCCTTCTGAATTTGAATTCTCAGAATTACCATCTGTGGTAAGTGTAGCATGATATTTTTGCGTATCATGCGTTTTGTTCAAGTACTTAGTATTTTTTTCGGAATTAAAGGAATGCGATTTATGAGGATAAGGACAACACTCACCTTTGCTGCAATTCCCCGACTTGTTAAATTCAGGACAAAGATACTCGTGACGTCGTTGACACTATAGGAGAACAAATCAGTACTCTACGTTTTACAAACTATTATTACGAGCTGTTGACATTTGCATAAGGCATCTAGTTGTTATAATTAAAAATCACCTTAAACCTAATTTTATTAAAGTATTTTTTCTTTTTTTTTTATACTAATGATCTCAGACTCATATCTACGGGAGCTACACAAGTCAATTATCATTAACTATAAGAAAATAGATTTCTATGTGTTAAATCAGTTAAATGGCACACGATGTACGTTTTCTTACTTGATTGTTTGCATTTTAGTAAATTACTAAAAATTGTGTTCTGATGCAATTCTAGTAATTTAATAAATGAAAGATATAGTAAACAAGCAATTTAACAAGAAAACATGTATCGTGCCGCTAGCTTTAATATGATATACTTTTTTATAACATGCTTTTCTGCATGTCAATGATATTATCAGTCCTGTTAATTTAAATTTTGTCCTTTTAATTTAATTTAAAAATCTATCTATCACATATAACATACGTTATGATTGATCACTTGCCCGCGAGCTACATATCTGAAATCTTTTATTAAAAAAAAATTTGCATTGTAATGCAAATTAAATAAAAAATATAAAAATATTGTTTTATATAAATAATAGATAAATAATAGATTAATGTAAATAATGTATTATGAGTAATCGGTTAAAATATAAACGAATGTGCAGTTACCTTATTTCCTTTAGCACAATATCCTTGTAGAAAATCTATGCAGATTGAAGTGTTAGAAGACACTTTAACATGAAGATAAGGACAAGCATCTCTCGTGCAGCAGCCATCGAGGAAGTATTTGCATGTAGGCATTTTTTCAGGTCCAACATCGTGAGATAAAGAGCATTTGTTTAAGAAACATTTCCCTTGCAGAAAACTGGATATATTTTAAAAAATTGATTTAACATTCATTTTTCTGAATCTTATTTTATCATAGATAAAGAAATAAAGAATTTTGCAATTTTTTTATATTATCGTACTACAGTAATAATATTTATAATACATACTAGGAGATTCATTTTAACTTAATCAGATGATTTTTGAAGAAGTACTAAAGGAAACACTAAAAGAATTATTTTAAAAAAAGACAAAGTTCCTTCCATATCTTTCATGCGGTTGTTAGTATCAATCAATGATACATATATTTCAAGAAAGAATGTAAGATTATTTAAAGAGAAAGTTCAAACGTGAGAGATAAAAATTCAGAACTATAAAATACATTTGATAAAATATCATTAATATTGTAATAAAAATTTTCATAAAAAAACAAGTTTTTGATTTTGATGTGATTTCAACAATTTTATGGCAAATAAGGATTACCGCATTTCTTCAAAAATTATATGATTAAATTAAAATCAATTATCCTGCATTTAGTTTTGACATAATTCTAATAATGTCTGCGTGGTACAGACAAATTAAGAACATTAATATAATGATGTAACGTATAGAAAAAATATGAGAGATATATTTAATATTTCAAATATTAATTTACTTTTTGCAGAGCGACACCTGATTTTTATCATGTCGTTTAAGACACGTTCCATTTTCATAATTTGGACAAGATCCAAATCGTTGATAAATTAAACAAGGTTGGTTATTTTTGTGCATTTTATTTCGTAGAATTCGTATGCTTCGTTGTTTTGCTTTGTTGCTAAAACAAAAACTAATAATAAAGAATCCATTTTCGTTTGTACACAATTTTAAATGATATGCATATTACTTGTACCTGATACTATTTTTGTAAGCTTTCGGAGATATATTGAAAGCAAATTTTGATTTGCTACTGATGTCCACTTCTGACGTGCGATTTAAACTTTCTTTGCTCATTCGTTGTTTTTTATTAAAACTAACAAATTTATCATTCTTTCCATTGATTGATCGTTTCCCTGATTTTTCCAGAAAAAAATATATATTTTAACAAAATACATATTTACAAATTATAAATTATGTGTATATGTAATACTAATAAAATAAAATACAAAATGATACACATACGTTTTAATAAAGAGTTCCTTCGAATTAATTTGTTTTTGGAAGCTCTATAGACAATACCACCAATAGTAACAAGTTTCTTTGTGTCGTTTCTGTAATACAAACTTTCCAATTTCATAAATTATTTATTTTATAACTTATTACATATAAATAATAAGTGCGCGTTACTTACATAACTTTCGTGGTTTTTGACAGACCAATTTCTTTAACTTTTGATACATGTAACGCAGTTCTGTCTATCTTATATTTGGTCACTTTAGATTTATCGATATTTGATTTTGATAAATTAGGTACCGTATTTGTAGATAGTAATGTGTTATTTATTAATGGTTTTATTTTTATAGATTTTTGCGTTGTCCCCAATTTTTTATCTTTAAACTCTGCGTGTTTTGATAATCTACGTTGGTGCAATGGAGAAATTTTTGATGTATTTTTCGTAGTAGATACTCTCACGAGTTTTCTACGTGATAAAAGTATAATGCTAGAATTACTAGTCTTTTTTGGAGAAATCTTTCGATTATCGATATTTTTTATAAACTTCAATCTTGAACAAATAGGTCGTTCTGTTGCAATTGATTCTTTAGAATTTGTCGACTTTTCTTTGGAAGATAATTTTTTCAATAATGTTGGATTAACATATATAGATCTTTTGACATTCGCTTGCCCAGTACTATTATTTGTTTTTGTTGTACTTGTATTTGTTGCGCTTATATTATTTTGTAGTTTTTTATTTGAATTAGAAATATCATGCATCACTTTTGGATTAATATGTATTAAAGGCTTAGCATGGATATTTGGATTGATATGTACTGTTGATTTTTGTGGTTTAAAATTGGGATTAACGTAAACATTTGTGGTAAGCAATGTAGAATTTACATGTACATTTTTAGTTGAGGTCTCAGGTAACATTTTAGAATTCAAAGAAGAATGGCAAACCAGATCTGATTGAACTTTCGGCTTTATGAATTTAAACTTTCTGTTGGAACAGTTAGTTTTCTCATTGGATTGCAAAATTTGTGTCTTTTTATATTGTTCTATTTGACCTGTAATTGTATATAAGATAATTAATCTCATATAATTCCATATTGTCGAGCAAGAAAAAAATTGTTTTATTTTATAACAGTAAATTAAATCTTATTAAGATAATTTCATGAGAATCTTAACAATGTATAGAAAAAAGTCTATAATAAAGATCAAGAAATTTTGAAAAACATATTATAATTTTAATTCTAATAAACAGCTTAAGTCCATATTTTGTAACTCTTTATGAGTGTCGATGTATCGTTATATTGTCATTGCACATTTTTTTTAATGTATACAACTTGCACAATAATAACGACTATATTTATATGTCACCATTAATTGAATTTAATAACATTCTGTAAATTGTTACTGATGTAAAATGTCATATAAACGCTAGTTAATTTAGTTTTTTCTGGTGTTATAAAACCGAATTTAATTAGCATTTATATATTTTATATCAGTAAATAACAACTATTGATATTACTAAACCTGCTTAATGATGACATATAAACATAGTTAATACAAGAATACTGTGAAGAGGTTATAGAATAGGTTCTATCAATATATAATCAATTTTAATTTTGGCTATTTAACTTATTGTTTATCTTTTTCTAATTCTAAAAATTAAAAAAGGATAAAGAGTTATAAATTATATATAAATCGAGATTAAAATTAATCTTACATTGATGGAGCCAGATCATAAAGACTTATTTAGAACAAGTACATTTTTATTGCTGTCTGAAGTATAAGAAATATCTCAAAACAACTTAAGATCAATGCTATATAAGATCACATTATTATCACTATTAATATATGATTCAAATTATTTGCCAGCAACTTTCATTGTTAGTTACTGATTTACCCTCGTTATCTTTTGTTATTATTCTCTTAAGTATAGTTTATTTTTAAGAGTGGATCAAAATTAAATTTTGTTTTTGACATTGAAACGTTACTTCGTAAATTTTAACAATAAACGATAATTTTATTTTAAACTCTACATGTAAGAACACAACCAATATGAATTAGAAAAAATGCCTATACTGGTCATAGCTGAATTTTTAATGCTTTTATAATATAAAAATATTTCAATATGAATTATATATACATGTGTATATGTGTATGTATATATATATATATATA